TCGGTTTCATATCGGGTCGTATCGGGTCATATTGGGTTTCATAAGGATTTGGGAAAGCACACGGATTGGTACAGATATTACAGCTGAGAACATTGAAGGATCACAAGTCTTGAGTCTATTGACTACCAAGCACTACCCCACACCACCCCATCGAGATAAAACCTCTCTCTGCTTCGTCTAGACCCCATTAGAGTCTCTGGATCGGCTATTGGAGCGTTCTCAGTATTTACACGTAAATAGCTATTACCAGATCTAGTTCAAATATCAACCTAATACTTGGTTGGAACCCCGTACTCGCACCACTTAATTGTTTGGATTAGTGTTTAGTGTTGGTTTAGTGTTTGTTAGTGCTCAGGCATTGATAGACATTTTACTACATTTCACATCTGTTCAGGTAGTCAGTGTTTCACCGAGGCTGGCAATGAGGGCCAGGAACTTGGGGTTGGAATCATCAAGGTATTCAGGCGAAAGGTGGGGCATGGAGGGATGGTGGAAGGAAGACGAAGGAAAGAGGGACGCGGAAACATGGGGAAATATAGTGGAAACATAGTGAACCAGGTGGAGATCGAGATCTCGGGACCGATAACAGCGGCCACGCCATCTGCATCAGCATCATAAGAAGATCCACAAGAATAAGTTGGCATGTGGGAAGTTGTCAAACATATTTGTTGGTGCAAAAAAAGACGGGCTCACCGGGCAAGGACCATCAGCCCATGCACATGCCAACGAAGAGCGGGATTGGCGAGAGTGAAAAGGGACTGTAGAAGAGGAATACGAGTCGTGGAGTAGGTCGAACGTGAGAGCCGCAGGTGATGGAATTTGAATTGCAGATTCTGGAGGTGGGCTGAGGTAGAAACTCATCGACGAGCCTTTGTTCTAGTCCCATGCGTATTCAATCTTTTTAGTCCCGTGGGTATTCGATTCTTTTAGTCCCATGGGTATTCGATCCTACTGATTTGGTTCGTCCCCATATGGATTCACGAAATCAAAATCAAAATTTATTGTGGCTGATAGTGATACTGCCTATGCGACGAAAGAATAAACTAAGCGACTGTTCCGGGCCAAGATCTAGGCAGAAGAACAATGAGCATGAGGCCAGGAACGCTGGAATGAAACAGTACCGACTATTTACACCGAAATGACGGCGGCCGAGCGATAATGGAGAGCCTCGTTGAACGCGCTAATGGCCAAAGCCTGTGTCTTGTAACTTTTCATGTTGTTGGCACGGACCCCAACAACTGCATTGATCGCCAGCCCATTGTTCAATGTAACGCCGATGTAGCGGCCTCTGGTGATGGCATACCAGAGGGGCGCTTCCTGGTCGTCGGGGATGGGGTCTTCGGGGATGGGAAGGAGAGGGGCAGTGGGAATGACCACATAAAGGTTGCCAGCAACCCAAGGGCCGCTGGTGTGGAATCCCTGGGTGTTGGGAGCCGGGGAAACAGTGGCGCCATGCTGGTCAGCTGCACCTTGCGCAGCCAAGATGGCGGCGGCGGTAGCGTCATTAATAAGCGCGTCGCGCTGAGCCTGCGACCCAGGGGCTGCTGTGGAGAAAGGAAGTTAGATACCTACAGATGTTATAGAGTTCTTACTGACCTTGGGATAGCGCGTTGAGTGCATTGAAGAATTTCAAGGCAGCAGCGGTGCGTGCTGTTCGAAGTAAGATCAGGATAAGTGCAGCGACAGGAAGTCCGGGGCTTACCGTTGTCGCTTGAGGCCGCTGCTCCTGCGACAGAGTGGTCTGTCCCAGAAGCAACGGAAGGGTAGGTGGTCATGGTGAAATTGGACAGAGGCAGATGGGGGTAGGAGAAGAAGAAGGTGAAGAACGATAACGCGCACATGTTCGCCTTTATAGCACGCAGGAACATTGGAACTCCGCCTGATTTTGGGTGGATAAGGAATGAGTCGACATGTAAACAAGGGAATAATAAACAAACCTGCCGTTTGACCTGCCCACGAGCACGGCCAGCTGCACAACTGCAGCCAACGAGTAGTAAGTTGAGAGTATTGACAGTATTGCAGCACAAGCGAACTGATATGGGTCCTCAGTAATGCCCAGGGAAAGAGTGCACGTCCGCGTGGCAAAGACAGACCGCAAACATTCAAGGCTATGGGCAGAGGGAGCTGTCTTGAATCCACACATCGAAGGGTATGTCAAAGCCTGGACCAAAGGGCGTCGGGAAGAGCGCAAGTATTGGAAGAAAGTTTGTAAGGAATTCCACACGTGCATAGACTGGAGGACACCCGACCACAAAGATCCCATGGTAGTCGACTACGACCCGTTGTTGCCAGTGGAGAAGCTGCAAGAGGACGAAGAGAGGGAAAAACGCGCTCGTATTGACCAGCTCAACGCGGTATGTCACAGATCACAAATGTGACATTATGCTCATCACCACCAGCGCATTCGATGTTGGCTCGGGTACCGCGCAAAGAAGATACGCAAGCACCGACCCAAGGCCACAAGCGACGCCTCCAAAGACCCTTATGCAGTCCTACTGGGGAAACTCTCTGGGGTGACAGCGCCGCTGAAAGCAAGACAGGCATTTCAGCAATTCATGGCAGAATCATATGAGGAGAAGGTCGAGCCAGCTGTGATGGCCGGCTGGCAGGCTGCGCGTGACGGAGACCCCACGAAGTACACCACAAAGAAACTGAAGGCCGGGTTTCGTGCGGAAGTCGCACGCAAAATCTTCCGAGATCTGCCGGCGGCTGAGCGAACAGCCATCGGGGAGCGTGCTACGACGGAGGCAAAGTCAGCAAAGGAAAAATATAAAGCAGCCCTCAGTGGGCCGCCCTCGCGAGATCCCGCTGACATTCACAAGTAAGTGATGGGACGAACGAGGAAGAAAACGAAGCTAACTTATATTTGGTGTAGATGTATCGAGGCTTTACCTGCCTTCGTGGAGCCCATCTTGCGGGGCATTCAAGAATACACCGGATTGCATTCGGTGCTGGTTTTGGGCGGTCCTATGCCGAAGTACGGAGGCGCATTGCGTACGGTGCAGTGAGTACGGTCGATTCTCATCCAATGAAAAGGGTTGACATCATTCCCAGTGTTTCCTGTGGCCGCGCCAATACTCTGGGTGCACCTCACTTCGCACAGTACGACAAGCCGCGATTTGTCAAGAACGTCTTGGATTTTATGAAGGAATATCTCGCGAAAACTTTTAGTAAGTGTCCATTGTAATATGATGCGTTCAGGCGCTGACTCAGGCCCATAGCGCCTGAGGAGTGTGCTGCTGCGGCTTTCCCCGACACAGCCGATTTGGGGCTGGCGCAGTACACCATCTCTCAAGACGGTGACAGCAGCGACGCCAAGGGCAAAGAAAAGGCAGCCGACGCCGAGTCCAATTCTGCCTCAGACTCTGACTCCGACTCTGACTCTTCTGACTCGGAGTCAGATTCATCGGACGACGAGACAGATGAGGACGAGGAGGAGCGCCCCCGGAAGAAACGCAAGTCCGGCAAGGAAAACAGGACCGAGGGCACATCAAGTATGCCCAGCACTGCCGCACCTCGTGCCCCTACGTCACAACCTCCCCCGCTCACCGACACGAGCACGCCCTCGACATCGGCCACCACTGCCGCTCCTGTGTCATATCCTCCCCCCCTCACCTACATGGAAGAAAAGGAGCGGAATGTGGCCCGCAATCACACATTGGCGCAGGCCATGTTTGGCAACGACACACCGCTCTTCGCACCGGCACCCACAAACCAAAAGCGCCGCCGCAAGCCGAAGCCCGCAAGCACGCTTCCCACGATGCGTCAAAAATCGACCCGCATCAACACGCAGGCTTCCGACAGCACGCCTGGCCCCAATTCCACGCAGACGCCCGTGGCGCTGACTCCGGCTCCTGCAGCCATAGCCCCCGCATCCAACACCGCGCCTCCACCCGGTTCCGACCACACGTCGACTCCAGCGCGTGCACCGACTCCCGACGGCCAGGTGACTCCCAACCTCGCTGGTGCTCCCGACAGCAAGCCGTCTACCGTGCCCACCGCCCTGCTTTCTGGCGCCGCTGCCCCGTCCTTCGGTACCCCCACTGGTCCCGACCTCCCTAGTGCTCCCGACGGCGAGGCGTCTGCTATGCCCGCCGCCCCGCGCTCCGGCGCCGCTGCCCCATCCTTCGGTACCTCCACTGGTCCCGACCTCGCTAGTGCTCCCGACGGCGAGGCGTCTGCCATGCCTGCCGCCCCGCGCTCCAGCGCCGCTGCCCCGTCATTTGGTACCCCTGCCGCTCCCGACCTCGCTGGTGCTCCTGACGGCGAACCGTCTGCCGTGCGCGTCGCCAGCGCCGCTGCCCCGCCCTCCTGTGCCGCTGCCCAGCCGGTGGTTCCGAGCGCGGTACCTGCATGCCTGCCAAAGGCGTTGCCATGGTTCCGGGACGCGTACGCGGAGATGACACGAGAGGATCTGGGCCCTCACTTCCGTGCGGTGGTCGCAGCCTGGATGAGGGCCGAGGCCGCCTCCAAATTCATGCAAGGCCCGACCAATCTGCCCAGCAAAGGGCGGCCGAAGCAGGTGGGGGCGTGGATTACGTCGGCGCGGGGGAAACGTGGGTGCAACACATCGGTTGCGAACCTGGCTCTGTACGCGGTGGAATGGCAGAACTGGTGGGATTCATTGCAGCCGAACTGGAGATCTCGAGGGGCTGACGGGGCGTGGACGGTGGGCACGAGCTATGGGAAGGACGGGAAAGAATGGGGGCATCTGTTGCAGTGGGGAGTCAACGGCACCTTGAGCATTGTCGCGTCCCTGTACTTCTGGGGATGTGCGGTTCGCGAGGATGACGTGGCGAAGATTCGGTGGGAGACGGCCGTGACAGATGTAGGGTGGATGCTCGAGGGATTGGCTCTATACTACGAGATGTGGAATCGTAAATTTTGAATAAGCCTTAGTTTGTCATTGTGCAATTGGCGTGGAATACGATTTGAAGACAATTCACATACATTAATTGGGAGATCACAAAAATACAAGGAGTCGAGGGAAAAAACCAAAACGCTCAGCCCATGACTCGAACCCGGAACCACCTACGAAACAGTATTTCGTCGAGACACAGTTACAAGGGGCATTACCGTTCTGCCAGATGAGCTCGACCAAGGTGTTTATTGGACGCTTTCAGTCCCACAGTAATCGAACCTTTAATGGACTTTGAAGAAATTTTTGACGTTCGAAATTCCCAATAATTTCAAATATGTGAAATCTAGGTGAGATCAGAGATGAAATGCAGAAGAATACGCATCATTGACCCCGGCCAAAACCCGAAGTCAGAGTAGAGGTTGCCAGCATCGTGCGCGGTCCGTGGTGCCAATGGACACCTGTGGCGGTGACGGACACATCAATCACATGACCTGGTTCCAGGAAAATCTGAGTCGCGTCTGAATCTGATTATTTGGGAATCTCATGTCTACGCGGATTCTGCCTGATATAAGGGCTGAGTATGACTTTAGGCCCTCGATAAGGTAGCCGAAGGTCTCTCCGGTGCACCAGAATCTTTTTGGGCACAGATCCCAGGAGTGCCGAGGAACGGCAGCAATGTAAGGTCGTAAGTAAATACATACAAATACAAGAAGAGGCGTGATTGGGCATGCGGGGGGTGGGAGTCCACATAGGTGTGGGCTGTAGGGGGTTTAGAATTGCAGTACATATGTTTTGCAGTACCTAGCAGGCCGGAGGAATATAAATAACGGAACGGGACTACCCGGGAGTGGGGATGCCGATGAAAACGCTAACTCTCAGGTATGTGTGAATGCGAAATGTGAAATGCTAATGCAGCAGAGCTATGAACTCTAAACCACACACAACACACAACACTATCAACAACTAACCCCTCAATAGAGAGAGTCAGAGTGCAAGTTCGGGGGTGTAAGTCAAGTATTAGACTTGATAGCAGCTGGTTTCTCGGTCGATCGCTTAGTTAACTAAGGGTCGCTCGCGCTTTTGCAAGATTTGACTGGTCAAGTCAAGTTGTATTGGACAAATAACGTCTAGGACGTCAAGGAGACAGTATAGGGTAGGTTTTAAGACCGTTAAGTCTGCGCTTTTGTGTCTTTCGACGGTTTCAGTGTTCTGTTCAGTGTTCTGGGTCTGTTTGCCGTGTTCTGACTATTGCCGTGTTCTATCAATTGCCGTGTTCTGATTCTGAGTCTGGTATATAAATCGTTCGATGCAATCTAACCTCCACGGCTATCAGAGCGACGTTCCAGTGGCTGACACAACGTGTACAGCGCCCCTAGATGTGCTAGCTTGCCCTCTTCTTCTGCTGCCCTTTTATACTACTGCCCTATGGTTTACATCACGATGATTACTGTACAATGTCCGTTGGTTCACGGCACCTGAATCCTAATCCCTGGCTCCTGATTGGTCGTGTCTTGTGGAGACATATGGTGGACATGTGGTGTTTGACACGACACATGTGATTGCTGATTAAGTGGATAGAAAGTGTCTTCTTCGTCTGTAGCCTCTTGTCCCGGGCCTGATTAGTCTTGAAGCTCATGCACCTCTCTTCTACCTTTCCAATGATACCCCATAGCCCCTGGTTTGGTTTGGTGGTTCAACCACAATATCACAATCTCTCTCTCTGTCTCTGGTTTATCCTCGCGGCTAAACGGCTGGATCATGTCCTATTGTTCAAGTCATCCCCAGATTCGGTCTGGACCCAATGCGTGATCAAACACGTCCTCAGTTTTGGGTAAAACAGGTCTAAATAGTCTTGTCGCGAATAATTGGGTTCTTCCTACTGTTGCCTGCCAGCACTCGGTATATTGACCTCGCAACCTCTTTGGTATGCTGTTTGTGTCCTAGCAAGCAGCCTTAGGCCTTGTATGTCCTAGTTTCTCTGCCACCATCGTCAAGTTTCCTTAGTTGACTAAGAGATCTGGTGGCCCCATTTGTGAAGGTACCGGTAGAAGTCCTCGTTAACCTCGTAGCTTGTGCTAATGGACTGGACCACTCAGTCAGAGTGCCCTGATGGTCCCTCAGTGCGTGCTGACACGCTGAATCGTGCAAAATCGCAAAATTCATGTGTACTTGATTTCACGGCTTATAACCGAGGAGGGGATGCCGAGGCAGCGGGTGCCGAAGCTAACAGCGTGGGAATCATTTCGAAAATACGCCGAGGAGCCGGGGGAGGGGGGAGCATGGCCAAATGGGTTTGGAGGTACCCATAACGAAAAATTCAATATATGCGTGATTTAATAGGGATGCCATTGATTTACATCAGAGCGCAAATATACACAAAGGTTTTCTGGCCGTGGGAGAGCCCCCGGGAGCCCCCAGATTAGGCCTGGAAGGCCTGTTTGGCACTAGCCAACCGGTTGGCTATGTCCGTGTCATTAGACTAAATCTCTTTTGGCTAGTGCCATGTCTTTTAGCCTATATACTACAGCTATGGCTCACTGGAGGTCTCGATTGGGACGTCCAGGACATCCTGAAGGCTCTTCAGCGGAACCAAGTCAGTTTGGAAGAGCTACCAGAAGGTATTACCAATGGGTAAGCACTTTAGTTGATTTTGATACCAAGCAGATGGCAGGCCATGATCGGATCATGGCATCTAATTGGTTGTTATGTTGGGGTAGATCAGGTGTTGTTGTATGTTTTTCTATACTCTCTTTTTGTGCCCACTATGCCTGGGCCCAGTTCCGAGGAGTTAGGGCAAGTGCAGTGTGCCCTAACTCCTGGTATCAGCTATGTCGTGTTGGTTAGTGTTAGGGTTGTTAGGGTTTAGGTTCAGGTTAGGAGGTTAAGGGTTAGTGGTTAGGGTTAGTGGTTAGGGTTAGAGGTTAGCTGTCATGGTAGGTATCTATTGGTGTGAAGGGAAGGAATATACAAAAGAGAGCAAGAGATAGACTAGATACATCACATAAAAAAGGGTGCAAAAAAGATTGTCAGAGCTCGGACTTGAATGCACGCAGCTGATAAGGTCACGTGTGTGTCATTGGTGGGGAGAGGAAGGGGGTTTGAAAAAACCTCCTCATCACATCCGCATCCAGAGCACCCTCATACCCTGTCAATGTTCCCAGGCGTGGTCTGGCTAGCATGGGCTCGGTCACTTCACGCTTGATCTTTGGGGAGGAGGACGGGGCCTCAGTGGAGAAGTAGAATTGGAAGTGGAATGGGACGCATGCGTGTTTCGCAGTGGATTTCTTTCCAGTACCATTCCTCGCCAGACTCGTCGAACTATTGGTTGTCGAGTCCTCGGGCACACTCCTGCCCGTGATGGTTGCATGCAGCGTTGTCACACACATCATCGCCTCATTGCGCTCCAGGGCGTCCGCATGCACCATGTTGGCGTGCTGCCTGAGGTTGTCGAGGCGGGAGAGTTGTCTGCCGGTGAAGGGCCGCTCGCCGGTGTATTTCCTGGGGAGGTATCGGCAGATTCCAGGTTCAAAAAATCTGGCAACAATTCCCAAAGAAGCAAGTCTTACTGATTATGCTGTGCCAAACACTCACTTCTGCTAAACACCATCCTGCACTTGCTGTAGCTGCGGCACTGAAACATTTTTGCCGATGGGGTGTGATAGCGCTTGCCCACCCCTCCTCCACATCCCGTGGGTGGTGCCGGAAGCCCAAGGACGCTGACGAGTGCCATAGTGTCGACCTCGCCCTCTGTGTCCAGGTCAGAGTAGTCCATGTCCCAGCACAAACTCCAAGCCCAGGAAAAGTCAACCAATTGAAGACCTTCAGCGGAACATATTTGGGACTTGTTTGGACAGACACAGTGGACAAACAACTGTCACTTGCAGATCTGAGGGCAACTGTCATGGAATGGCCAGCTGAACTGTCATTTGTTTAAATCCGGATGGTTTCTCCTTTGGGACAGATTTCCGTGGGCACGATGAAAGACTAACTACTTGAACAGATGTGAAATGTAGAATAATGTCTATCAATGCCTGAGCACTAACAAACACTAAACCAACACTAAACACTAATCCAAACAATTGAGTGGTGCGAGTACAGGGTTCCAACCAAGTATTGGGTTGATATTTGAACTAGATCTGGTAATAGCTATTTACATGTAAATACTGAGAACGCTCCAATAGCCGATCCAGAGACTCTAATGAGATCTAGACGAAGCAGAGAGTGGTTTGATCTCGATGGGGTGGTGTGGGGTAGTGCTTGGTAGTCAATAGACTCAAGACTTGTGCTCCTTCAATGTTCTCAGCTATAATATCTGTGTTCTGTGTACCAATCCATGTGCTTTTCCTAAATCCTTATGAAACCCAATATGACCCGATACGACCTGATATGAAACCAATACGACCCGATATGATTCTGTTTTCTTCTTAAGATTCTTTATGTGCACATAGGTCCAGCATTTTCCAGACCAATAGCAAAATTCCCTCTAACAATCCACCAGCCTTTCAACGGGGTTGATGGTTTGCATATACAGATTGAGATGCAAAAAAAAAAAGTTTGGGAATTTGCGTGGGCGGTCGAATAAATGGCTCATGAAGGATGCCAGGCCATGACTGATGGGTGACATGTGAATGATCGCCAGTGTGATTTGTGTGATTTGTGTGGAATACCATGTTGCACATACTCAATTCTTGACTGATCACCCTCAGAGATGGAGCACATTAAACTGACAGAGGTGTAGCCCTAGATTAGCAAAAGAGTTTTCAGAAAAATGTCTCAATATTGACCAACATCCTGGGCCGAGCTGAAAAGTTCACTAATGGTATTGGAAAATCCAATGCCCTAGGGAACAGACTCACGGGGGTACTTGGATGATGAAGGTAGACAACCTACAAGGTGATCTCACACATTTTCAGGGTCACAATCAAAGTGGGACAGGTCCTACCTAACCCTTAGGATCAGCATCAAGCAGAGTTAAAATTGTTACAATTGGTTCAATGCAGACATCCTGTGGCTGTCTCTCTCACCATTCAGCCCAAAAATTTGTGAACTATGATTTTAGCATCTGAGTCCCCATGCCAAGTCCCATGAAATTTTATTGGCCATGAAATACAGTGCTGTTACATGCATGCAAAATGTGTGTAATCATGTATATATAGTCTGCAGCCTATGACAGGATTAACCTGTCATAGTGGCCTTTTGGCTCAGTTGGTAACAGTGTTAGCTCGCAGGCAC